CTATTCTCAGAGCATAAGTAGAGTACCTCTGGTAGGGACATGTGGTAAATCTAGGAGCGCTGGTTTTGATTTTTATGATGGCAACTGTTGTGCAGAGAATCCAGAGCAGGATGAGTGAGTCAGTATATTTTTAATTCCTTTTAGGAGTGAAATCACGATTCCACTGTGGAAGCTGGATTTATGTTAAACTGCAAATTGTGTGTATGTGTGTGTGAGAGAGAGAGGGAAAGCAAGAGAGGGCAAGCTCTAGGATGCTTTGTCAGAGAGCTTGTGCTCTCTTTGATATTGCTGTAGATTGATCAGTGGATGTGTATTTAAGGCAACTTCAGAGTTTAAGAAAGACAAACAACTTACACAGATGAATACACCATGCAGGGTGTGAAAAATGGAAGGGTGCATCAGACTATGAGCAGCATCTCTGGTCAACAGACCTGTTATCCAGTGACCATTAGGCAGATCCCAGGAGTGTTCCAGAGGAAGGAGGACTGAAACAGAGGATGCGGAGTGAAGAGGTTCTCTAGCAGGGGAAGGGACAGGTAAAACAAAAGGCGGTTATAAATATATTTTTTAAATGTTTTAGAATTATTATTCATGTTACTTCTTTGCTTCTTTGAGGTAGGTTCCAGATAAATGTAAATAGCAGGACAAGTAACATTTCCAGTTTCAGCAACCGTGGTGATTTCAAAAAGGCCTTTAAATAAACAATCACTTTCTGACATATTTCCATATCCTTCCTCTCCACCTTCACATACACGTGCCACAGCCTGGGTAACTTTCAAACTTCATAGTCAGGCTTCCTTAGTATGAAATATATTCCAGCCATGAGGGGTTATGGTACAAGCTTTCTATCTGCTGAAACATCTCTGCTGCAAGGCTTCTTGTTTCTTAGCTCGTTTTCAGTATGCTTAAGGTCTCCATTGTGAAAGTCAAGTTATCGCAGAGATATTTCTTGCAGGAAACATTCATATCAAGTTCTTTTTGTAGTGCAAAGCAGGGAATTTCTGCACACAGGGCTTGAAACATTAGTTGCATTCAGTCAGGAAAAGTTACCTACATTTCTTTTCACTTAAGTCATTCCCTTCCTCTTTAATGCCTCCACATCCACTTCAGGGACAGGTAGCTTAATTTCTATCATCTGTAGCTTTACAGAGTATTAGCTTTGCTACACATGCCAATGATTGAGCTATACTAGATGTGCTTGAAAAAGCCTACAACCTACAGTGCTCATTCAGGAAACTCGGAGTGAAGTAAATCCATATGTGCGTTAGAAAGTCAGTGTTCAGATAGGGCTCGTGCTTTCTGGCTCTTGGTGCTATCATGCACAATCCCTCTTTGAAGAGATGCAGCAGTGATAGGATTTTTGATAACAAAATGTGTAGTATGCTCATACTTTAACAGTGACATTTTGATGCTTTGAAAAAATGTTCTTTTTCATTTGGTTAGACATTCAGAACACTCTCCTACCCTGATAATTTTCTTAAAGGACTCTTAAATGAAAATAACAATATTATAATTAAGCAGGAAAAAAAGGGGCTAATATTCTGTGTCATAATTAAGCTACAAATGCTGTATTTTCTGTAAATTTTAATATATAAAAAAAAAATCCTAATCAGGATAGGGTGTTTACTGAATTCCTCAGCTGCTCCAAAGCACTTGCAAAACAAAAATAACCTCTTATAAAATTCCACCTGACCTTTTCAGTCTGTGATTCAGAGAGCATCACATTTGTCACAAATTCATGCGCACTCAGCTTCTAGAGTGACTGTCAGATATATGTTATAAACACCTGAACTAGGACCAGAAACCACAGTGTTTAATCCTAATCCCTCCACCTGTATAAAATCCAACCATTTCATCTCACAGGAATAAAGAAAAGCATATCTAGTATGATTTTACATAGCTGCATTTCATATACTGCTTGACAACTGGGCCAACTAGTAGCTGTAATTTTAATGGGTTTGCCATTTATATCACTGTATTTCAACAGCAATTTACAAAGTAAACACTGAGTAACACTAAAAGAAAATCTCTATTTAAACATCTGAAACATTTAAGGCAATGCATAGAACTAATAGAGATATAAACCAGAGTGAGATGGCATTTTCCAGTTGTTACAGTTAAAGCACTAGCTGTGTGATTAAAGTTTTTCTAGGTTGTTCTTCATGAGATGTTCCTCAAAAATTCAGTCTTAGTTTTTGATTAATATGGAATAGAATTTGACACCTAGTTTTGTAATACTGTGCCTTTTCAGGGTAATTATTCACATGTTTATGTTAGCTTTCTCGTATTATTATAACTGTGCACTAAGGTATGCAGCTTCAGCTGGCTACCCTGGCTTTGAGAGCTTGCCATTTGTTATGTGTACCATGCCCAAGAGACCAGCTAAAATACCCTGAGTTTCCTGTGTACATTTAGTTGGTCATTTTTGAAAATTCCTCAGGAAATGCTGTTTTGTTTCCCGATTGACCATTTTTACCTTCAGCCCAGGTATAATTTAAGTAGCAGTCATTCAGGCAGTCTGAGGGAGATTTTTCAGTGGGAGATATTTGGTCTGATTGTTCCAGTTCAGTCTCCTCACACTCACTTGAAAGCAGAAAATGATAAATGCCGTACCCCGGCCAATACTCAGCATTCAGTGGTTGGAGAGACTGCCGTCTCATGTGTCAGAGCAGACAACTGTCTTGAAGGGTGGGTACTCTCAAGCTGTGGTTACAATTTTAACTTAATCGGCCTTCCTGGAAATGAATCATAGTCCCTTTGAGGATGCAGGCTCCTGCTCGTGCCCTGGTGTACTGAGCAGCTGCCATTGAATCATTTTCATCAGCCACTCCTTCATGTTAACCTTAATTTGCTATCCATAAAAATGGTAAGAAAGTACTCCCTCCCAGCCCTCTTGTTGATACTTCTTTATTTAAAGTACTGCACAGTATTTTTCAAGTTTTATTATGGTTTGATTAAATTGATTTAACCAATGACCTATACTTATTTATCTCCTGATTTGTTTTAAAAACGAAAATTGATTCACAGTTGCTTTAAAGCAATAGAGAGACAACCTGAAGGTCTGCTTAATGTTAAATACATCATTATTTTTTTTTTTACTACTTGGTTTCCTTCTTATTTCTTGTAATTTTCTTACCTACTGATTTCTGTGCGTCTTTGGGAAAGCTACTTAATTTCTTCAAATCTCAGGCTACCAATCTGCAAAACAAATATAATAAATCATTCCATATCAAGCTGATGATGCTTAATTGTGTTTGTACAACATTTTGAGTTTCTCAGATGAAAACACAGTGTGCTGTTATTACTGTTATTTTAAACTTTGCAAGCAAAATCCAGTCTTCTTATTCAGGTCTACTGTGAATAAGACTATTTTCATTAGTTCTGCTGCATGCATACAAAACTGATCAAAATGATAGAAAACTTGAGTCCAGTACACTGAAAAATAAGATCACTTTAGTAGCTTGAAATATAATATTATTGTAACAGTAATGGCAAAGACATTTGACAGGTGTAGAGAAGATCAAGCTTCTTTCTGTTTCAAATGACTAATCAGAGAAATTCCTCAGAACCTCCAGACTCGAGGAGCAGTTTCATCCATTTTCAATTACTTGATTTCTTTCTTTCCTTCTTTACTTTTTTTTTTTTTTTTTTTTTTTTTGAAAAAAGAAAAATTAGGAACAGAAGCTTCTGGTTCAAACTGAAAACATGTCTCAGTGTGCTTGGAAGTTATCCAAATAGCATCTGCCACAGTATTTTGTCTATCCCTAAACGTTTTTCATTTCATGATAAATTTGTACAGTATGATACAATTAAATGCACTTCCCATGGAGCATCAAGGAAGTCTGGCTGTCTCTCTGGATGACTTTTTCAGACTATTTCACACCATCATGTCTGCTTGGCATAACATCATATAAGGGTTATACAACATATCACCTGTATTCATTTGATATGTTTCTGCAGATAAAGAGCTACTAAAAATAAATTTGAAAAGTAAAATTTTACCATACCAATTGAAGCTGTAGAGCAGTGCTGCTTAGCCATCTTTATATTTTGATAATGTTTTATCCTTCTGTGTTATATAATATTCACATAGTATTTTACGTCACACTTGATCATTTGGAAGGTGCAAAAGATAATTTTCTCTGCTTTAAATAACCACATTCTTCTGGTATGAAGTGGGACCTAAAGCCTTTTAGCCAAAACTTTTTAGTTCATCAAAACCGGAGATACAGCAGATACCGGAGATACCGACTCCTGCAATTAACCCAAATAATCGTTCTGATTTGAGTCACTTCAAACCGACTCTTGCCCGGGTAGGAGAGATGAATGCTTCCTGCTCTGTTGCTTTTGTTTTGGTTGTGGTTTTTTTTTGTTTAAAAAAAAAAAGGGGTTAAGGACGTGACCGCTGGTGAGTTTTGGGGGCCCGGGTTGCCCGTGACGGCGGCTGGAGCCAGCGGTGGCCGGCCCCAACGAGCGATGCTTTTTCCGGGCGCTGCCAGGTCCCCAGGTCCCCGGCGCCGCCGCTCCGCCCCGCCGCTGGCAGGTCCCCGTGTCCCCCCCCCCCGTCCCCCCCCCGGGACGCTGTTTTGTCCCGGCACCCCCAGATCCCCGTGTCCCCCCGGGCCGCCGCTCCGCCCCGGCGCTGGCAGGTCCCCGCGGCCCGGCCGGCCTGAGGACGCGGGAGGCGGCGGCGGGCGGCTGGCGAGCAGGCCCGGCCCGGCCGGTGGAACACTGTTTGTAATGAGAAATCTAAACAGGGAATGGCAGCGAGGCATGACAGGAATGTGTTTCCATTGGAGAAGCCCGTGCAGAGAAAAAGCACAAGCACAGCCATGTCCAGAAGGCCTTTCAGCTGGCCGGGACGGAAGACTGATGTTATTGTACACGGGCTGTCACGCTGCCAGCCCTCCCTCACGGGTTTGTTTTCTCTCATGCTCTCCCTCTCCCTCTCCCTCCCCCCCTCTCCCCTGCCTTCCTCCCGGGGCCGGCTGTTTGCTCAGGTGGACAGTGACACCGTTTGGAACGAGCTGCACTCGGCCGGGGCGGCACGCATGGCGGTGGGCTGTGTCATCGAGCTGGCGGCCCGCGTCGCCTCCCGGGAGCTGAAGGTGAGGTCCGGGCCGCGCCGTGGGTGGGAGAGCCGGGCCGGCGGGGCGGGAGGGGCTGAAGGGAGGCGTTGTTCAGCCGCGCCGCTCCGCGCTCGCTGGGGAGGGCGGTGGGAGGAGGGCCGGGGGGCGGCCGCGGAGGTGTGGCGGGCCGGGCCGGGCCGGGCCGGGCCGGGCCGGGGGATTGCCGGGGCGCGGGCGGCGGGCGTTTGCAGCGCGGGGCTGCCGGTGCCTGCGGGGAGGTAACGCGTGGCCTGGCGAGTGGCTGTGGCGCTGCCTTCCTTCTGAAGTGAATTTTGTATTCTTTTTTTATTTTAATTAATCTGGCGGTTCAGTCGCCTGCGTACCGCCGTGGCAGCCGGCAGCGGCGGCGGGCGCGGGGCGGGAAGGCCAACGCTGAGGCGGGGCCGCCTTCGGCCTCCGGGGCACGGCCCGCGCCCGCCGCCCGCCCGGCCTGCGAGGCGTGAGGTACAAAACCCAAATAATCTCCAGTCTAAACAATTTATAAAAGCTTCAGACCTGACGGACTTTGACATTTTATTTGGTATTTTAACAGCCCTATTTAAAGGTACGCCATATGCAGCCCGAGCGCAGGCTTGCCGCAATAAACAGTGTTGGAGCTAACGTGTCTCCTTAAGGAAACTGTTTATTCACTTGCCAGTCCAAATACTAAGGGATTCATTCCCGTTTCCAAAATCAAGACAGAAATAAATATTTCAGAATTATCACTGTACGAGGATTTTAAGAATTCCCAAAATGTATTTGAAAGTCAGAATTCTCCTCCTGTGTGTCTGTCTTATTTCAGTCAAAATACATAAGCTACATATTTGAAGAACCATACATATATTTATGTGTATATATACATAGATACAGAATACATAGATACATAACGACAGCGTGCTCAGGTGAAATGCAGTGCTATAGCTCTGACCCAGCTGAATGCAGTTACTAAGCTTTCATATTCAGACACTGAGATCATTAGCTAGGTGCTATGCAAAATGTACAAATTTGGAAATCTCGGATCGAAGACAGAACACATCATATGGGATTCTGTTGTGCATCCTTCCTGATGGGTACTTCATCCCCATTAAGTTTTTTGGGGACAGTAGGATTCAATACACAACTCACTGCATCATTCCCACTCAGCAGGACCAATGAAAGTAAAGAAGGATTTTTGGGCTAGTTTTTACCTTTGGTGACCATAGGACACATGCCAGTCTCTAAGGCAACATAAAAGCAAGTTTTGATAAGAAAACAGCACATGTCCAGTGTGCAGTTGACATAGGTGGAATCCTCTGCAGAATCTTTACCACTTACCTCTGTACATTTGTGTTGTCTTTCCACAGTATGAATGCTGTTGGTGGTTTATGTGTGTGTGATGGACAGCTGAAAAGAATCAAGCATCAGCCACTGTGAGACCTTGGTTGCTACTCACGTTGCAACAGTCTGTAAACAAATATTTTAAATCTCTTGCTAGTTTGTAGTTTACTGTAAAATTATCATTGATCCTAAATAGAATTTTTGTCTACAGTGCAGAGAATTGACGTGGTCTTATGCAACCTGCAGCTGAGACAGGAAATGTAATTGCTCACTAGACATGTCAAGTAGTTGGTTTATTCCAAATCATCAACAAAATAGAAATTGAAAGGATTTGCTGTGAAAGAGAATTGGAAATACTCATGCCATTCCTGACAGGTGTTTATCTAACTTGCTCCTATACTTCCAGCGTGAAGCCCAATGACTTACATGCCACCATGCCAACTGTATGAACTAAGAATCTGCATGTGGTATTTATAATTTAAGGTTATCAAAAGGTCATTAAGGCCCGACTGACAGAAGAAAGAAAAGTGCACTAGCAGAAGTTCTGGAAATGCACTGATCCTGACATTAGCTATTTTGGCAGAGTCCTCCTATGTTTGCTTTGTCATTGCATCCATGCAAACCTGGGTTTTGCTGGTAAATTGCTCCCAACACCCTCACATGGTAAACGACGCTAGGGGGATTTTTGCAGTGTATTCTGGGGTTTTCTACATGGTGTTCAGGACGAGACTGTAGGTAGCTGTAAGATTTCAGCCCCAGAGATCTGTATGTTCCAATCTACCTTTATGAGTTAACATGCTGTTTTTCCATCTTGCTGCCATTTTTCATCTAGAAACATACATGTTCCATTGATCAACTCTTTCTAGAATAGGGAAAATGCCAATTCTGTAGCGTACTTGTGAAGTTCTGAGGGGAAATAAGTGAAGCTGACCACATCCATGTACATGTATTGAGCAAATACATATGTGAAGCAACTATCTGGGACCTGTTCTGTGAGCACTGAGTGGGAGGATTAAGCTCTGATAGGAATCTGGAATGATCTGCCGCAGCTTCAGAATCTTTGGATGACAAAAAAGCACCTTCCAAGAACTGCGTGTAAGCTATAACAGTTCTGCAACGTGTAAACGGCAAGATGAGAGCAGTAGAGAAACATGCTGTAGTTTTTCCCTGGAAGTTTACCACTGTGGATTGCTATCAGATGGTGTGCTGTCAGTTTGGTGTCATCTTAAGAAAAAAAAAAAAAGTAAATTATGAGACAGGACATACTGATTTGTTCTGAAATCCCACAGCTCTTTGAGAAGAGCTGCATGTCCCAATGTTCACAGTGGCAGATTCACAATACTTCTCTACTGCTCCAGATTGCAGCGGTAGAGGCAGTAGATTATCTGCTCACTGTACTTACTAGAGAATCACAGATGCCTTTACCTGACACAGTCATGGTGACATTAGGATAACTACAGAGTCAAACTATCTAGCATAGACACAGGCCGAGACAAGAAGCCTCAGGAATGAGAAACTGAAGTAATCCATTTAACAAGTGCTTTTCTGACATGAGAATTATCAAATTTGTCAGTGTAGTTGGGTATGAACTGCCCAATATTTCTTACAACTTGATGAATCAATATAGATGTTTTTAGAAAGTCTAATATAGTTTTCCTAAAATTAAAATGAATATAATAGGGTTTTTTATGGACATGTTTTCAATTAATTAAAAAACAAAAATATTTACAATACTGAAGATAAATGTCTTCACCGCCTAGCTAGAGTGTAGAAACTGACAAATGCAAACTGCCCCTTATTGACTGGCATCTGACATTTAAAGTCCCTTTCAGGAAGGACAGGACATTTCAATTTCTATGCTTATTACATGGTCTCTACTGATATCACTTGCTATTGCATAGAGTGATAGTTACAAGTTGGAACTATAGGTACATGCTGCTAAGAAAAGGGTTGGGATTGCAAAATAAATAATGAAGGTCTGCAGAACAATTGAGAGATTCACTACAGAGCTGGGCATGAGTCAAACTTGTACCGCAAGGCAAAAGGTTCTTTACTTTATTCTGAGTTTCCTGAGACTATCAGTCCCATTCCACACAGGTCTTGTCTGAGAACAGCAACATTTTGTTCATCTGATTTGGACAGTGTTCAAAAACTGACCAGGAATTAAGAGTTCTCTTCACTGTAGTTCAAACCCCTTGTGAGACATCAGATTTCTTTGATCTCCTTGACTAATGGGGAAAGCATCAATATGACAGTGCTAAGGATGTAAAACAATAGGGTTTACTGAAATTCTACTGCTGCCATAATAGTAAATTACAGTAAATCAGGACAAATTGTCCCTTCTCTGGGGAGTCTTAATCTGGATGCTTTTTATTTGATTATATTAAACAATCAAAATAAAGGATTTGGGGGGTTTGTTTAATAATACAATGAGCACTCATTTAGATCCATTTAATACACTTTTGAGGTAATATGTAATAGAGAATAAAGAATCGCACGACTGAAATATATAGTATGAGAAATGTGGTCATACTGAGTCGAATGCTTGCTTTTCCTTTTTTCATGAATTTGTTTACATGCGTGATGAAAGTCATCTTGGCAATATTACAATAGGAGATGAGCCTACAAACACTGCATGAAGATCATGCTTTTTTGAGCTTTTTATAATTTAGGAAACCTGCTGATGCATGATGAGGTATTTATGTTATATGGAATCAGCGCTGCAGCTCTCCTGTCTAGATGTTTTTCTGTATCTACCTTTGCTCCTCTCTCCTTTCCCCAACAGATTTATGCAGATGGCTTTTAATAATCTGCTGGCTGACCACAGATGTTTAGAAGAGGGGAGTATGCGGAAGTGGGTGAATATAATTCCACCGCAGTCATTAGCTATATCCAATAAATAATTTTAACAGATAAGAGAAATTTTATGATACATTCCTTGGAGCTTGGGGAAGAAATACAGGTAGTGCCCTGCATATGGTTCCTTGCATGCAGCATAACTCATGAACTTGGGAATCATTGTCGCCACCCTCCACCTAATATCTTCATCTTCAGAAAGAAGGCCCTAAAAGATCTGCATCTGTGGAGAGAGATTTCTTTCCTGGCAGTGTTTCTGAAGGATCTCCTTACTCTCTTGCATTACCACAGAAAAATAGAGATGTGCTAGAAGTATGTTGCAAAGGAACACTCACAGTGTCCCAGTCGCTGCTCTGCAATAATGAGGTGGAATTCAGGAGCGCATGGTCTAATGGCTTAGTGGCACTGGGGGATGCTGTCCTGCCCTGCCTTCCCATTTATTTCCCAGTCCAGCCCGTCTGCTTCCCTTACACCCACTCAGATGCTCAGCTCAGTTCCCCCCAGCCCTGCCAGCATGCTACTACCCTCACAGGCAGCTACGGGCATGGAGAGACTCTCCCCTTGCCTGCACCCGGCTGTCCTGCGCAGCAGGCGCTTCCCTCCTGCTGCTCAACTGGATGAGTACAGAGCTTGTCCAAACCCCACATTAGAGAAGTATCAGAGGAAAATGAGAGTTTCTGCAACTGTGGTCTCTCTTGAGTTTCAGATTTCATTTGTGACTCTTAATGCTTGCAGAGAATTTCACCTTTAGGACTCAGCTTGCCAAATTATTGTTTTTTCTGAAAGAGTTTAGGTTGCTGATATTTCCCTTTTGTTAACCAAATGAT